ACACACGACCATTAGCATTACAAGTAGAATATGCTCTCGCTCCACTGAGCTACACTAACAGGAGAATGCATACTTTGTGGAAACAGTAGGCCAGTCATCATTATCGCATAAGTCAGATGCATGTACATTGACACGCACTGTTCTACAAGACAGGCCTTTGCATTTCAAGCAAGATTTTCTTTTTAGGTGTAGTATAACAATACAGATCAAACCTTTATGTAATTAGTATTGTATCAGAGCATTTATAAAAAGCAAAATAATTTATATTTGCTAGTGTAAAATAGGGTTTTTTCAGCAGAAAAAAGACAGAAAGCTGAGACTGCGAAGTGGACCAGCCAGTAGCTTTCAGATGCTCTTCAAGCAAGATTTTCTTTTTAGGTGTAGTATAACAATACAGATCAAACCTTTATGTAATTAGTATTGTATCAGAGCATTTATAAAAAGCAAAATAATTTATATTTGCTAGTGTAAAATAGGGTTTTTTCAGCAGAAAAAAAAAAGACAGAAAGCTGAGACTGTGAAGTGGACCAGCCAGTAGCTTTCAGATGCTCTCTTCACATACAAGACATAGCCATCATTAGAGCACAATGGGTTAAATTGATACTGATGACAACTGAATTACAAAATCTGAATGTGAGTCATTTTTATCAAGGTTATCAAAATGACGTGTCCATATGTCAAGCATCCACTTAAGCAAAGAGCTGCTTACCTAGGTCACCAGTGACTCTGTAGGTGCCATCTGCAAAAACCCAGAAGAAAACTCCTTTGGTACTTCGAACATATATCCCACCATTGTCGACTCTTCCTGCAATAAACACACCTCCATCACGTTTTTTTTCTATGTAGATGTCACAAGTGACTGTCATGTTCACCCTGTAAGAGAAGTTTAGTGTTTTAACAAGCATGGAATCAAATTTTTTGAGCAGGCAGCAGGGAGAAGAGTATTGCCTAGGTAGTACAGCAATCTTTTTGAGGAAAGATTTAGCAGTCCTAATTGTGACCTACAGATGTGAGGTACATAGGACTTGTCTAGACAGGTTTTCCACCTGTGAGTCCATAGATTTTCTTAGGAAAAGCAATTCTTCTCAGAAACCAACAACAAAAAACTAAGTGTATTGTCAGCAACTTTCCACTAATTATTTAAAAAAAAACAAAAACAAAAACAAAAACAAAACAACCCCATACAGAAGTTTTGCATCTCCTCAGAAAATCTTTCAGGTCTGCAAAATTACAAGTTTTAGATAACTAAATCAAATCCAAGATTCAAGGTCACAGCATCCCATTTACTAAAATTTGATCTTTATTTCTCTAGGATTTTTAATACAGACCAAGTCTTAAGTAATCCATACCTCTTGCCCAAAAGCCAAAACAAACTTTTTTAAACAAAATGTTTAAATAGGCTAAAATTATTTTATTTTCCTGAGATGATACTTCAGCTCAACAGTAAAGCACCATATTATACATACAGTGATAACTGTAAAGGAGAAAGCAAAGGAATACCAGAACAATCAAATGGCATTAAGAAAATTTACACAACTTCCCCCACCCCAAAGTTGCACTACAAGCCTCTTAACAATAAAAATTAAAAACATTCTTTATTTCTATTAACGTACGTTCAATTTAAAAATCTACATCCCATGTCTGAAAGGACTTGCAATATGGATACAGCAACAAGGGCACATATTTAGGAAGTTTCTAATTATCTATAACTATTTACTGAATGTGAAAAGACTCTCTATGACATCCACTCAACTGATAACTAAATAATAAATATATTCTTCTCCCCACCTCTTACATAATTGTAAGAACAACCTGAGATTTCATTCTAATGTAATGCTATTAGAAGTATCAGATTCTTGGATACATATTCATTACACAAACAATATTTCTTTCTTGCCTCCCTAAGTATATAACCAAGAAACATCCTCATCTTGCTTAGGCCATTATAAAGAGATTGTAAGCAATGCTGAATGAGTTAAATAGCAATATTTTCAGGATACATCTAGGTTCAATAAAATCATCAGAGCAAAACATTAACAGATTCAGGAGTAGAAACAAAAAGCTTTCACAAGCACAAGACTAAAATCCAAACTAAAATCAACTAAATAATCCTGAAATTTAATCAGAAAAAAATGCCATTGATGACTCAAGTAAAATATAATTCCATAGAGATATTCAGCGCAAGACTGGTTCAGTATTACAACAGCATGCACTAATGGCTGAAAACATTTACCTACAACAAGGTAAGCCCTAAATTGAGGATGAAGCAAAAAGATCACAGGGTCTGAAATTGAAGATTATTATTATGAAAAGTTACAGATCAGTAAAACTTGAATAATAAGCTGAACATTGAGGAAACAAGCTTGGTTCTGAAAACATGATGAATATTCAGAAAGAAATGTAACCAAAATGAAATAATAGGAAGTTTTTAGTAATCTCAGTACACTAATTTAAGAATATAACCTGTGTAGTTGTTACAGGGATCACTGAATATGATCTACTCAATGAGGGAAATTTGATTATAGGGGGAATACAAGACTTCACTTAACACTTTACAGAGGGCTGCAGAAGGAAACACTGGCTAACTAAAGAACAATCTCCAGCTACAAGAGGGTGGTATTCTTCCAGGCTTCAGAGCAAAGTGATTCAATTATTTGTCCAGGCCAGAAATTAGAAGCATAAAGCATGTTCTAAAAAAGCATTTGGGGGATCAATGATCCAATCAAAGTGAAAAAAAACTGACAGACTGGCTATTTTAAAGAAGATATCAAAAGAATTTAAGCTAGACTTCCAACTACAAGAAAAAGTTATGTATAAAGTTTATTACTTACTGTTACTAAACCAATTAGTTAACAGGCTCTTTCCCAAATGCTTTTTAATTTTAAATAAACATTACACTGAAATATGCTGCTTGATTTCAAATTAACATATTTGTGGCTCCTAGAGAGAACTGCAATCATAACCATATTTTTACCAAACCAGTAAATCTCAGTTACGTTTACACCGAAACAAGACTGTTTTAAGTAGCAGTTGAATCAAATGCAATCAATTCCAGGAACTGCTCAGAAGATGGCAGTCTGCAACAATATAACTGAATTAACTTCCAGACTAGTTCATTTATGCGAGATTGATCAAATCACTAACAATCAAGCAAGGCAACTCAAATTAAGTTAAGTGGAATCAATTTTTTTGTCCCATTTAAAAACGTATTGAAACTCACTGCACACTCTGAATTAGGATTTTGATTTGGTCTTTCTAGAACACCAGCCCAGATCTATTATTCTGAAAAACCACCTTGAACAAATATGCCCAAAAATTTCCAAGACAGTGCAGGAGTTGGTCAAGCTACCGAGAGACTTGGTGGACTCTCCACCCTTTGATGTTTTTAAGACTCGTTTAAAGACAAAGTTGATCTCTTAGAGTCATCATTTCTACATGTTTACAGAGAACGCAAAAGCCCTCTGTCCAAGAGGAATGAAGCTTTGGACAGATTAACTGATCATAACTCTTTCTGGTAAGGAGGACATTTCCCCAGATGTCACTAGAAAATAGTATTTACATACCACTGAAAATTTCCTATGAGACTGATGGTCTGGTCTGCATCAGAAGCCCAAGTGATGGGTCGCTGAACCACCACCTGGCGGAGTGTGAACACATGATCTCCTGGGTCAGAAGCATTTACGAAGTATTCAAATACACCTGTCTGATCTGCAAAATTTGGGGCTTCACTGAAAGGTGGATTACCTGTTTCAAAAATATGTATAAACACCAAAGCATTATTTTTCTTCTGTGTACTCTTCTTTTCAGAAATTTCCTCTGAAAATATTCTCCAGAACCTTTACTTACTCTATCAAAATACAAGTCTCCAAAGCTGAAGATTTGGGAGTTGGAAGGTGATTTTAGTTTTGGTTGTTTTTTTAAGCAGACCCCAGTTTTTGCAAACACGGACAACGTAAATTACTTTCTTCCCTATTTCCCTTCCAAAAACTAGTTACTATGAACTATATCATTTGCACCAAGAATTTTACAACTGTTAATGTTTAACACCCAGTTAAAACATAGAATTAAATACACCTCATTGCAAGAGAAGTATACAGACATAAACTGTTGGATAAACAGGTATAAACAAACAAAAAATAAAACACACATTCAGACTACTTCATGTCCCTTACATTAGAGGACTTTAATAACAGTTGTTATTGCCTTTCTACATTAAGACTGTATCTGTGTCTGAATTAAATTTCTGGATAAGAGAGTTCTGACTTACGAATATTGAAATCATCTTTGTAATTTGAAGGAAAGGGCTGAGGTGGTGGAGGCTCTGGGCAACCACATTTCTGCCCGGTCTTGAGTGTGGTTAAAGTGTAGACTTCATCCACGTTTAGATCTAAAGAAAAACTTCCTTTACACACCTGGAATTAGAGAAAGCTCAAGCTGCAAAAAAATCAAACAACTAAATAACAAAATACCCAAGTTCCTGAATTAAAGGAGATCATCTGAAGTCCTGATTTAAGCCAAAAGTCTTGTCATCTTGCCTCAGCATTTAGTATCTCTGAGATATTTTGAAAACACCTTTCCCCTAAACTCTTTATTACATCCAGGTAAGCTTGTATATAGCTAGTAAATTTGTAGTCAAAACAGAGCTAATAAAACATGCCCTAATTATGCAGATTCGGCATGAAAGCACAGGGTTTCCAGTAAAAGGGGAAGAAACACCTGAAACTGCAGAAAGACTGTCATTAAAAGTGATTGACTTACCTTTACAGGATGGAGTTGCTGGAAAAGACTAGAGTTTCCAGATTCAAAACCAAGTCTAGAATGCCACACTTGGAGGGCTTCCACCATATACTACAATGAAACACAATATATATTTTAAAAAAAAAAAAAAAAAAAAAAAAAAAAAAAAAAAAAAAAAAAAAACAAAAAAAAAACCACAACACACACACAAAAAACCACACGCACTTGAACATTCACCTTGAGAAGTATCTGCCTTCTAAGGGTGTCTAATTTTTTTTATTTTAGATCACGTTAGAAGCCACCATTCTATTCAGCTAGTTACTGCGTATGGCTTATATTTTTATAGGTTATAAATCAGTAAGCCATCGACCTAACATGCAGCAATGCTGCTTATAAAGACAGAAAGCATTGCAATCGTACATACAATATTTACCTTCTCTATTACCAACAATGGTATCCCTTTGATACAAGCTCTATACCTAGGAGCAACCAGGCTGAAATAATCCCCTGCTAATTTTGCTTTAATGAGACCTTTAGTTTAGTTGCTGGTTCTTTGACAACAATTTTTGAGCAAAGTAGTTCACTTAAGATCTCCAAACTTCTGCAATACTATGACATATCAACTACATTAGCTACAGATTTTAATCACATCCAACTCCCACAATTTTTTTTGGCTACCTAGATGAACAACAAAGCAAGCAACCTAGACTTTGGTTTGGATAAGCTGTTTGATACTTGCCCCAAAGCGAGCAGCATATCAGAAGTGAAGCTCAACTACTTTTCCTAAGCAAGTCATTTTATTGCCAAAAGCATTTTCCAAACTATCTCCTCCTAAATGAAAGGAAACTAATGCCACCAAAAATCAAATTCCAAATAAGTAAACACTTTCAGCTTCTGAGAAGCAATAATCCAAATCAACTAATAAGGATTCACTCCAGCTTACACTGTGAAAGCATTGTTCACATTTCAGAGGGAAATTCACATCAGCGAGATATATACTAAAAAAACCCCAACAAAAAAAACCCAAAAACACACAGAACAAAACAAAACCACCAAAAAAACTGTGAGATTCTTAGAATATCTCTCCCTGTGATGGAACAACATAACTTACATTATACAAGCAACTACAGTTACATGCCTGGAAAGGAGCTGATAACAACTAGAAAGGTCATGGCCATGCTGGCTGGTCAAACTATGTCAGCATGTCAGAGCACCCAGTCTTGGAATAAATCCTGAAGAAAAATCCAGTTGCATTTCTGTTCTGGGGAATTTCTTCTTCAATATACACACCCTTAGACTAGGAGGCAGTAATTCTGTAATTCAGTTATGACATTACATCTCATGGTAAAAGTAGAACTGGAATGCTTAAAACTTTGCCAGGTATATAGCAGCCTCTAGCACTGGACATAAAGAACTTCAATTTCTTGCTAAACTGTAATATTGTCTTGCATGGATAGCAATTAATTTTACAAAACTGATCCAATGTATTTAAGATCTACTTACAAATGACCCTTTGAGGTGGAAAGTAGCCCTCTGAGGTGTCACACTGAAATGAGGCAGTGGAGGCCTAATGCACTGAGAGTGATTATGAGTCTGAAGAAAAAAATGAATGTATCATTACTGGAATGCATCACATGGCAGTGTTTATGAAAAGCATACAGCATAAACTGAAATTTAAGAAGTGGCATAGAACAAATGTACAACTATATTTCATTGTTATCTTAATGATAACTGCAATTATACTAGCTTTATAACTTTGTTTTGACTACTGCTTACCAAAAAAAACACATGATTTAATTTCCCTTCCAGAGCGTGTCATCAAATTAAAACTAATTTGTGATATAAAGATGACATTGGTCTCCAGGAAGATTCAACTAATTATTCTAAGTTTAGGTAGAAAAAAGGACCTCTAATGGTCTCACAAACAAAGCTACAAGCATCAAAGAACATATTCACAAATATTGAACTAAATAAATCAAAACAGGTTCTTCATAACAAAACTATTCCATTATCTTTTCTAGTTCACTGGAAGTGCTGATGCACGTACCATAGTTTCAATTATGATGGTAAGGTTTCCTAGGCCATCTGTCAGAGCTACGAAACTGCCACCTCCTTCTAAGTGTCCATCCACTTGCAAGTAAGACCAGCCTGGCTGAGTAAATTGTGTTGTGTGTGCTGAGACAAAAAGGAACAAAAATCAGAAGAAAATAATTAAATCTTAATTAAAAAAATAATAGCATTTCTAGTCTAAATTAAAAAGTTCTCTTTCATACAGTCTTACACAACAACTTGATTTTGGGAAGCATGTAATGGAACTTCCAAAATAAATTCTACTTATACAAGAAGAAAGATTAAAGAATTATACTAAGACATAATTAAAAACATCACTGTGCAGCAGACAAACAGTTAAAATGGTACTGACTATTTAGACAGGAAGAAAATACTATTAAACCACTATATAAGTCAATCATGTACATTCAATATGAATATTCATCATGGTTTAGATTTTCCCAAATATCTCAATTATTTTTTTTTTTTGTAAAGTAAATAGTTGAGACAGGCAAAGCATAGATGGGCATCTCCATGAGGTGATGCCCTAAATAAATTTTTAGGGCATAAATAATAAAAATAAATAAATAAATAAATTTTTAGGTGATGACTAAATAAATTTTTCAGCACGTAAGAGAGTAGCAAAGAAGAATATGTCCTACATCATGAAAATGCTGAGCAATATGGAAAGAGGAACAACTGCTCAGTTGTTCTGAACTGTTCATATGACAGTATGGTCATTTTTTTAATGCTTTTATATTTGCAGGTAAGTAGCAGAAGAATAAAAATTAAAGCATTTGCTTCGTTCCTCCTTATGGCATTGCATATGCTACTTGCTCTACTGAACTGTAGCAAAGACAGTAAAATATTACAGGACTATGGAGCAGGCAGTGAACCCGTGTGTCCGCAGACACTATGTGAAAGTATTCCCCTCTCTCCAAGGACAAGGAAATGCTGACTTACACAAGCCAAGAATCTCAAACAGGACAAGAATACAGAGGTCCTTTGTTCAATTTTCTCAAATTGAGAGGTATCAAATGTGCACTTCAGGATTGAAAAAAAGACAGAAAGGAACTCGGAAAGTAAACTAACCTTTATGGGCACTTCAGATCAAAATATTTTAATAGTAATAGCTATAAAAGGCAGCAGTCTACCCATTTCCACTGTATCTAACAGTCAAGTATTAATATTTGTCTTTCTACTAGATCTTTAAGCTTTCTATTGAAAGGAGCATTTTTTTTTCTTCTTCTTCTTTTTTAAAGTATTCACAAAACTTCCCACAAAACTTATTTAATTTGTTACAAAAAAATAATACACATAAACACTAAATAAATAAAGGCCTCAGAAAATACAGTTACGCTCTGTGTTAGATCACCAAACTTCTACCTACAAACTTTTTACCTGTAATCCAGATAGGAGCTTCTACTTTGTAGTGGCCGCTCCATGGCTCTTGTGCTGTCATTAATCCACACCGACCAAAGGGCAACTCTTCATAATAACTAGCCACCAAGTTCCATGCAATCGTTCTGGAAGAAAAACAGACGTTTGGTGGATTCATATGGATAGTATTAAGATTAATTTAGTACAAGAATTTATTCACCTTTCATTTCAAAGAAATAAATGAAAAGAAGTTTAAGGAAGAAAATCTTTCCAGCTAAAGGAGAAAGAAAAAAAACCAAAAAACAAGAAGGCAATAAAACAGATTAACTTCCAGTGTTGAGAACTTCTTACAAAACTGACGATACATTCTCTGGCTATATCACCATAAAAAGATGCACATTAAAGGAAATATTAAAGACTCCATTTTTTTTCCTATTTTGAAGGGGAAAAAATAAGCTATCAACTATCAACATTTACAGCTTTTTGTTGGGGTGGTTTGGGGAGTTTTTTCAACTGGTTGGTTGGTGGCGGTGGTAAATTTTTATTTTTTGGAGGGGGGGAGTGATTAAGTACCTCTGGAAAAAAAATTAAATCCTTCCTATAAGACAGATAACAATGAACAGATAACAACAGTAACGAGGCAGCCTCTTAGAGTTGTTGCCATTTAAAGATGTTGTCAGGACACTGACAAGGTTAATCTTTTGCTAGGACTTTAAACTTAAGACCTGTGCACCGTAAATATAGAAATACACCTTAACAAAGCAGTTATGTAGAAAGCAAAAGTGGCACATGCTGCTCTGCTATTGCATACAGATGAGTGCAAAGGCCTCAGATTCATTGCCACAGATTTATCACACTATATATGCATTTCAGAACAGAAGCTGAAATCCTACAAAAGTGGCTCATAAAATAAACAACTCTTGAGTTGTAAACTCAACAACTTGCTTACATTAAACTTGTTTCAAGCTTAAAAAAGGAATGTAAGGAACTCAAGTTCAAAGGAAACAAGCTTAGCAAAAAGATAAGCTGCCTTTCATCAGGAAGATCATTTTCAATATAAAAGCCAAGACAACTTCAATATTGGATATGTGAACTTGGAACTACTCCACAATGATTTAAAAATACAATACATAGGTCTGTTTGTCAGGTTGCTACACAAATGGGCTTAATTTATATAATTGCAAAGGGCTTATAAAAAAGAAAAAAAAATGGGAAAAAAAAGACCTCAAAGTAAGATATTAAAGCATATGAGAGTCAAGAGGCAACCAGAACAGTCAGGAATTCACATAGGAACTATGTGAATCTGTTAGAAAATTTCAGCTTGCAGAGAAGGAAACAGAAGATTCATAGAAACCAGGTGCCTCAAGAAACTTCCCTTTACTAGTATCCAAGCAGTTTGTGCTGTGCACTGTTTCAAGCACTTCAGACAAAAAACATTTATATTGTTCCAAAATGAAGTTACATAAAAGCTAAAATCTTTGAGCAATTTTGCTTACATCTTGATGCCTACGATTTCTTTAATCAGATTTTTTTTTTTTTCCCCTTTCAGATTGTAGCTGTTGCACTGGAAACCACAGTGCGTTTTCTATTCTCTTCTAAAACTGAAAGTTATGTAATTTCTCAATAAACAGAACAGCTTTCTTCCAGATTTCAGTTTGGAAAGAAAATATGCAGGAAACAGTGAACATTATCAAAAAGACAAGTTTTACAACGGACTCTGAGAAAGAAGTTGTATGGAAAAACTAAATAATGACATCTGTACTTACAACTTTTAACTGAAGACAACCTGATAAAGACTAAGAAAAATACAGATAAGTTAGCTTTATTGTTATTTTCCTCCAATGTCTTTCATGTTATTAGTTCTTCTTAAGAATATTTTATTTTTCACAAATATCAATAGAGTCTCAAAGGCATTTGAACTCAGCTGCATAAGCCATTTGGATACTGTGGAACAGTAACTCAAGAATACACTGCAATTCGTGGGACTTCTACCCCAGAAAGAGGTAGACAGTAGACTTCATACCTTATTATATTCAAATTCACACTGACAGTGGAAAGAGTTTCAGTTTACCTACTATTTTACCTGAAACAATTCTTAAATATGAAGTTGTGAAAGTAAGCAACGGTGCACAGCACTTACGAGGTCATGTTTCCATTCACATAGTTTTGGTTCAGGATTCGAGCCCAGCAGCCTGCACCTACTTCATCATTGAAAGTGCTGTAATCTTCTGAAGACCACAGCTTCTTCTTAGTTAATAATGCATTTGGTACTGTTTTTGTTCCAGGATAGTGAGCCCTGTACAGTATTTTAAAAAGAAATAACATTTATCACAAATAAAAGAATCAAAACCTGAAAGTACAAACAGCAGCAATGAACCACCTCCTCCAAACAAAAATGAAACAAACTTTCTTAGGAATACTACTAATGGAATAGAAGAAAATGGAATGAGAGCACACTATAATATTCTGTAGATTACTGTATTTGCATCAGTAGAAGATTATTTATTCTGATACATGTCAGCATATAAGTAAACCTAGCTTTACATCATGCAATTTCTGCAGCTTGCTAAAGCAAAGCTTTATCCTAAAACGAAGCTTGAAGATTTTCATAACTGTAATGTGCTAAATAGAGATAACACATGCTACTTCATACAATCTCAAACAAAACCATAAATAATCATAAAATCAACAGTAAGATACAGTACTAGGCATTATTCTATAAACTTCACTGTATGAATGTCTTAGGATCTAAGCATGAACTTGGCAAATTTTGTACAACTTTTTAATAAACTCGGGTTTCAAAAAGGCCTGCTAGTTGGATTGTGAAAGTTAGAGTTGTAAACTGAAAATAGTTAAAACATATAATAAAAGTTAATTTCTTTCCAACATCTTCCTTAGTATTAAGAGAGATGCTTTCTCACAAATGAAGACTACTGATTATACTCAAACAACATTGATTTACCGTGTCAAATTAGTCTGACTGAAATAAAACCTTTCAAATCCCTTGCAGAAAACAGGGTCATGATTTCCCCTTCACTTAGCACAATCATTGAACACACTAAATATATACACTAAAATGAAATTATCAGCACTGGAAAGGAAGGCATAAATATTTCCTTTACTATTAGTCTGAAACTTGACAAATTGATAAATTTGTTGATAGGGACACAAGAAATACCAGTTTTTCTAGGCTGTTGCGGTTTTTTTCATTATTTTCCCCCTACTGGACAATGGGCCATTTCCCAGTGTTTTAGTCCTTCACACATAGCTTCACTAACGATAATATAACAGTAGAGATTTTAGCTACATGCTTCTCTGCTGTGCAGATTACTGTATATATCCCCTTTGACTTGGAAACCCAAGGATTACTTTTATACTAAGCAAAGGTTTTTATAATGGCATGAAGTATGTAGCTTGCAAAGACAAGGCAAGGAAGGAAGAATTTGTCTCTCTACACTCTATATCCTGAACAGCTGTTTCTTAAATATTAAGAGTCAACATCCCTGCCACTTAAAAAAAAAAAAAAAAAAAGAAGAAGAAAAAACCATCAGAGGGGTGTTAGAGAGCTTTACATCAGATTACACAGAAACAAAATCTATAGAGCTCTTATGTCCTGCACTAAGACAGGTCACATTTATTTGCATTAGAGGGAAGAGAAATAATTCAATGCAAAGACACTAAATCTATGGAAATTGGAGAAAACAGGATTAAAGTCATAGGGAGAACAAACAGGTTCTAGAGGCAGACTCCTTCAGTGTATCTTTATCGACAGCTTTGCTCCACTTAGAGCCCACACATTTAACATTCTCATTTTGTCCCACTGGTATACAATCAGGTAGAATAGTTTCACCACCAGTTGAGAAATGAATCCCTTTTCTCTGCTCTTAGATGCAATTCGTATTACTGTTAATGAACACAATTTATACTTTATTTGCTTTTCACTTACACTGCTGTTAACCAACAGGGTTTGTTTTATTTTCATTAATATCTAAATTAGTCCTTAAGAAGTAGGACATGACTAAAGAGTAACTCCTATTCCACAGAAAAAATAACTTTTTAAAAAATGAGTATATCAATTTTTTTAAAACTTTTAATAGCACTGTAGATTGTATACTTTAAAAAGACCCATCCAAATGCACAAAATAAACAATTGCTATCAGATTACTGTGAAGGCTTTCACACTCAGTCTGTGCTGGATTTCTTGAACTATATGTGATTTTTATTTAAAGAAAACACTAGATTTTAGTGTTTAGACATCTTGTGCCACTCTACAGCCTCAACAACTAACAAAAGGGTATGCAGCAGAGGACAGGAGATTATCTGTATCCAGAACAGCGTGCTCTGCTCCTTCCGTAGTGAAAACAATCTTTTTAGTTCACTGGAAATGAAAATTCCTAGAGGAATAACTATACTCCAATAACTTTCAGGAAATAACTGGTCCACTCGAGGACCACTATCATTTGGAGAGACCTGAGTATCTGATTAATGTTACAGGAAAAAACACAGACTCCTAAACAACTATCTTTTTTGCTGCCTGAAATGATGAGCTGGAGTACAGTTTTTGCATCATTCCTATAGATGTGATGTTTCAGCAGAAGCAGTGGGATTTTGTATTCGCTGCTCGAAAGAGCAGAGAGTGAGACACTATAACAGAAAACCATTTCAAAGAGAGAGAAAGAAGTAATGTATATCATGAAAGGGTGAAAAAGAACGGATCTTGGCAGAGAAAAGGTAATGAAAAGCATAGTAGGAACAGAATTACAACAAAAGTGAGACATAAGTTTAAACCTCTTATCACTGTGAAAGAAGAACTTACCAACAGCTATTACTATCAAAATTTGCATTGTTCACATCACTTTCATTTACTAAAAAACATTTTAATTGTTCCTTTCTTCTTTCACTCTCTCTGGAACCTGCAGATGGTTGGTTCATCATCAGGGCCTCTAGCTGTTCAAGTGGTAAAAAAGTATTTTTAAAATATTAACTATTATGAGAGTGTTTATACAGCAGGCGATGAAGCAATATAACTCCAATGGGAAAAAATCCACAGTTGCCTGTGTAGGGCAGCTAAACTAAATCAGATATTTCAAGTAAGTAACATTAAATAAGAAAAGGTCTTCTACTTATGGACTGCAAATGCTGCTTTGCACAATTGCCCACAGTGACTTCATTTGGATAACTTAGTTCAAAAACAAAGACAAAAAAATTATGTTATTTTTTTGGTTTGCATATAGCAATGGCCCAGGGGGGAGGAAGGGGAAAAATCAGGACAGAAATAACAGCTTTTTTACACTACAATAAACTTTTGCAGAAAGGCACTACCTATGAAAACCTCAAAATCCAGTTCTCAAACATCTCTAGAAAACAGAAACTGTCAGCTAACGACACTGTCTTTCCTACTTCTCATTCTGTGTCAGCACACAGGCCTGGGAGGGACTTGGAACAGTTTGAATTCCCACTACTACAGGCACCACAGCACGATTCCATCGTGGAGTAATGTCATAACAACATCTTGTTTTTCTTATGCTTTTAACTTGGGCATAATTGGGGGTTGGACTAGATGATCTCCAGAGGTCCCTTCCAACTCCGACCATTCTGTGATTCTGTTGTGTGATTCTGTGATAATTAGGTCTAACAAATTTCTTTAAAAGCTTTGGTTTTCTGTAACACAAAATGTGACAGACAAATGTGTGTTTAGAACAGATCTGGTTAAGACCACCAATGCTTCTAACCAAAAGGTTTGACTTGTCACCTAATGACATATTAAATTTATATTAGCTGAAAATGAAAGCTGTTACTAATAAACTTACTGACACTAAACATTTCCTATCTTCTTTCAATTAATAGCAAGAAGAGGTAGGGTAAATTCTCAACCTGTAGAGCCAGAATAGCTTGATCTCTAACTGTATAGAATGCAGAAATTTAACTGGTTTAACTGTATCACAAGCAAGTAGCACATCTAAAATACTACTATCAATAACCATGGAATTTGCAAGTCCATCCTTGAAAAACATCGTTTTCAAGAGCTACAATCTAATTTAAATATGTTCAAAGTAGGAGTAATACTTCATAATAATTAATTATATTTCATTTCACTGGTAAAATTGATGCAACTGTAACAGCTTTGAAAAGCTGTTTGGAAATATCACATTATAAAGAGCTTTGGTGACCTAGGTCATTCCTATGTGGGTGAACATCTATTAATAGTTTTACAGTGTGTCTTCAGGGCTCCCTCTAACTTAGAGCCATTACAATATCTTGCAGATGAAGCCTGGATGCAAACAATGCAAAAATAAAACAACAGCAGCAGCTTTAACTAGCTTGTCTGATGAGAAAACTCACAGATCACGAATTACATCACCAAGTCTGAAATTGATTTTATGTGCATTCATGTAAAATCCTGGCTATGTGAAATACTTTTCAAATAAAAAAGAGCCAACAATTTTTTTTTAAAGATACCACAATGAGATGTGCACCACTAAATGTCCGTTAGCCAACTGATTATCCATTACACAAAAGAGTATTTTATTTCCCTGTTGAGATTGAATCAGGGTAGGGATGTAAAACTTGCAAAGAGTTAAGCAACTACAGCTTAGTAAGAGAGTTTAAAAACAGTTGAGCTTCAGGAACTTACTCTGGGTGCATACTTGTAGCTGACAAAAACCAGAAAGGAAGCATGTTCGTTACAATGGGATCATGGTAACTACAGTGCATTTGTATCTGGTCAGAATGAATTCACAATTGCTTGTTGATCTACACGAGATCCAAGAATCCACTTGCAAAAAAACTGCCAGGATTTAGGAGGGCAACACTGACTCCATATCTGTATTTGGAGGGAAAGCCTTCATTTCTACACCTCCTATGCAACAGATACATACAGATGAATAAAAAAGACTCAAGTTGAATCAATGAACAGGCACATTTGAAGCACGTGATTGGGTCTCACAAGTTTATGGAACCTAATGATTCAAATTTAGAGCTACTTGTCCTGGTTTCGCTAGGATAGAGTTGGTGGCTTTGGTGGGCATCTGGCATCCACCCAGGGTTAACCCACCACAATACTGTAAATAGAAAAGTTAATGAGCAAGTCTTACACACATTTCCATTCAGCAGACAAGTCAGTAATCAATCTTACATTTAGTCTACTACTTTTGCAACATATTAGCATCATATGATGAAACCCAGAACTAGAAAAACAAGTTAGCTGGTTGCATGCTTTCCAAACACAACTTTCTCATCAAAACAAAATGGAAACTAAGAATTGAGACATTATGGTAACTAAAAAAAGAATAGCCC